AGTCCTGGCATGGTCCTGTCCTAGTCCTGGTTTGGTCCTAATTTAGTCCTTGTTTGGTCCTGTTCTAGTCCTGGTTTAGTTCTAGTTCAGTCCTGGTTCAGTCCTGGTCCAGTCTTGATCTAGTTTTGGTTTAGTTCTGGATTTAGTCCCAGTTAAAGTGCAGTTCTTTTGTGAAGTTTGTGTGAACTGAACTGAATTGGCCCTTTTCCCTTTGGCTTGATTAAAATGTCCCAAAATGCAAACTAAGCAATCGCCATGGAGACGAGCAGGCAGCACCAACAAACCGTACTGTCTGTTGCCAATAACAACACCTTAATAAAAGAAAGCTGAAACTTGCAGAACATTCCAGGTCAATTTAATCAACCGCATTTTCACAAAATAAAAACAAGTGACAGGAGAAGTTACATAATGAACCTTTAATTCTGGTTTAGTGGTCAACAGGTTCACTTCTGACTAAACAAGTAGACTCTGGTCCAGGTTTAGTTCTGGGCTAGTCTCAGTCTGGTTTGGTCCTGTTCTAGTTCTGGTCCACTCCTGGTTTGGTCCTGTTCTAGTCCTGGTTTAGACCTGATTTAGTCCTGGTTTGGTTCCCGGGTTAGTCTCAGCTTGGTTTGGTCCTGTTCTAGTCCAGGTTTTGTTTGATTTGGTCCTGTTATAGTCCAGGTTTGGTTTGATTTGGTCCTGTTATAGTCCAGGTTTGGTTTGATCCTGTTCTAGTCGGGGTTTAGTTCCAGGTTAGTCTTAGTTTGGTTTGGTCCTGTTCTAGTCCTGGTTTAGTTCCAGGTTAGTCTTAGTTTGGTTTGGTCCTGTTCTAGTCCTGGTTTAGTTCTGGACTAGTCTCAGTCTGGTTTGGTCCTGTTCTAGTTCTGTTTAGTCCTGGTTTAGGTCTGACTTAGTCCTGGTCTACTCCTGGTTTGGTCCTGTTCTATTCCTGGTTTAGACCTGGTTTAGTCCTGGTTTAGATCCGGGTTAGTCTCAGTTTGGTTTGCTCCTGTTCTAGTCCTGGTTCAGTCCTGGTTTGGTTCTAGTTTGGCTTGGTCCTGTTCTAGTCCTGGTTTAGTTCCGGGTTAGTCTCAGTTTGGTTTGGCCCTGTTCTAGTCCTGGTTTAGGTCTGGGTTAATCTCAGTTTGGCTTGGTCCCCTTCTAGTCCTGGTTTAGTTCTGGGTTAGTCAAAATTTTGCGTGGCCCCGTTCTAGTCCTGGTTTGGCTTGGCTCGATTCTGTTCTAGTCCTGGTTTAGTCTACATGTATGCCTATGGCCGGAAAGTTCAGTAGTTTCCATGGAGACACAGTACGCACATTAACAAACACGACCAAAAGATTTAAGATTTCTGTTAAAATTAAGCTCGGATTAAAGTCGAACTGCGCTTCAGACAGAGCAGTGCCCACAGTTAGCGTCACATACCAAACCCAGGGAATATCGATGACAAGAATGATCGAATTTGTGTTTTGTTTTTATTTATTTGCGTCTTGTTTTGGGCGTGGCTCGGATCGTGGGTCTTGAGATGACAAACAGCCCCATCCATCCATTTTCGTCCGCTTATCCGGGGCCGGGTCGCGGGGGCAGCAGCCTAAGCAGGGACTCCCAGACTTCCTTCACCCCAGACACGTCCTCCACCTCCTCCGGGGGGACCCCGAGGTGTTCCCAGGCCAGCCGAGAGACATAGTCCCTCCAGCGTGTCCTGGGTCTTCCCCGGGGCCTCCTCCCGGTGGGACATGCCCGGAACACCTCCTGAGGGAGGCGCCCAGGAGGCATCCAGCACAGATGCCCGAGTCACCTCAACTGGCTCCTCTCGACGTGGAGGAGCAGCGGCTCTACTCCGAGCTCCTCCCGTGTGACTGAGCTCCTCACCCTGTCTCTAAGGGAGCGCCCAGCCACCCTGCGGAGGAAACTCATTTCGAGCGCTTGTATCCATGATCTCGTCCTTTCGGTCACTACCCAGAGCTCATGACCAGAGGTGAGAGTAGGAACAAAAACTGACCGGTAAATCGAGAGCTTTGCCTTTCGACTCAGCTCCCTCTTCACCACAACGGTCCGATACAGCGACCGCATCACTGCAGATGCTGCACCGATCCACCTGTCAATCTCACGTTCCGTCCTTCCCTCACTCGTGAACAAGACCCCGAGATACTTGAACTCCTCCACTTGAGGCAGGGACTCTCCACCACCCGGAGAGGACAAGCCACCTTTTTCCGGTCGAGAACCATGGCCTCAGACTTAGAAGAGCTGATCTTCATCCCAGCCGCTTCACACTCGGCTGCAAACCGCCCCAGTGCACATTGCAGGTCCTGATCTGATGAAGCCAACAGGACAACATCATCTGCAAACAGCAGGGATGAGATCCTGTTGTCCCCAAACCGGACCCCCTCCAGCTCCTGGCTGCGCCTAGAAATTCTGTCCATAAACAAACTGCCCCGTGGCGCTTTATTAGTTTATTAATATCGACCTGTTTGTCTGACCTACTTTAAAAACACGGACTCTGGCGCCATCTGCTGTCCGATTACTGGAACTACACGGCAAATTAATACGTCTTTTTAGTGTCTGGGCAAACTTTTAGAGTTTTGTTTCTTCTGTCAAACTCAGACCTGGTGTAGTCCTGGTTTGGTACTGTTCTAGTCCTGGTTTAGTCTTGTTCTGGTCCTAGTTTAGTCTTGTTTTGGTCCTGGTTTGGTCCTGTTCTGGTGCTTGTTTGGTCCTGCATTAGTTCTGTTTTGGTTCTGGTTTGGTCTTGTTCTAGCCCTGGTTTAGTCCTGCATTAGTCCTGGTTTGGTCCTGGTTTAGCACTGGTTTGGTCCTCGTTTGGTCCTATTCTAGCTCTGGATTAGTCTTGTTCTAATCTTGGTTTAGTCCTGGTTTGGTCCTGTTTTAGTCCTTGTTTCATCCTGTTCTAGTCCTATTTTAATCCTGGTTTGGTCCTAGTTTAGTCCTGGTTTGGTCCTGTTCTAGTTCTGGTTTAGTCCAATTCTAGCCCAGGTTTGATCCTTGTTTAGTCCTGGTTTAGCCCTTGTTTAGCCCTAGTTTAGCCTTGGTTTAATCCTGGTTTAGTCCTAGTTTGGTCCTGTTCTAGCCCTGGTTTCGTCTTTTTCTACTCTTGGTTTGGTCCTGTTTGAGTCCTGTTCTAGTCCTGGTTTAGTCTTGGTTTTCGTCGCGGTTTGGTCCTGGTTTAGTCCTGTTCTAGCACTGGTTTGATCCTGGCTCAGTCCTGATTTGGTCCTGGTTTAGCTCTGATTTGGTACTGTTCTAGCCCTGGATTTGTCTTGGTTTAGTCCTGGTTTAATTCTAGTTTAGCTCTAGGTTAGTCCTGGTAGTCCTCCTGGTTTGGTCTTGTTCTAGCCCTGGTTTAGTCCTGCATTAGTCCTGGTTTGGTTCTAGTTTAGTCCTGGTTTGGTCCTAGTTTAGTCCTGGTTTGGTCCTGTTCTAGTTCTGGTTTAGTCCAATTCTAGCCCAGATTTGATCCTTGTTTAGCCCTAGTTTAGCTTTGGTTTAGTCCTGGTTTAGCCCTCGTTTAATCCTGGTTTGGTCCCGTTCTAGCCCTGGTTTAATCTTGCTCTAGTCTTGGTTTGGTCCTGTTTGAGTCCTGGTTTAGTCCTGTTCTAGTCCTAGTTTATTCTTGGTTTTCGTCCTGGTTTAGCACTGGTTTGATCCTGGCTCAGTCCTGATTTGGTCCTGGTTTAGCTCTGATTTGGTACTGTTCTAGCCCTGGATTTGTCTTGGTTTAGCCCTAGTTTAGCCCTAGTTTAGTCCTGGTTTAATTCTGGTTTAGCTCTAGGTTAGTCCTGGTTTAGTCCTGGATTAGTCCTGTTTTAACCCTATTTTAGTCCTGGTTTAATCCTAGTTTAGTCCTGCTTTAGTCCTCCTGGTTTAGTCCTCTTTTAGTCCTGATTTAGCCCTGTTTTAGCCCTAGTTTAGTCCTCTTTTAGTTCTGTTTAAATCCTGTTTTAACCCTAGTTTAGTTCTGGTTTTATCCAAGTTTAGTCCTGGTTTAATTCTGGTTTAGCTCTAGGTTAGTCCTGGTTTAGTCCTGGATTAGTCCTGTTCTAGTCCTGCTTTACCCCTAGTTTAGTCCTCTTTTAGTCCTGTTTAAATCCTGTTTTAACCCTATTTTAGTCCTCGTTTAATCCTAGTTTAGTCCTGGTTTAGTCCTCCTGGTTTAGTCCTCTTTTAGTCCTGATTTAGCCCTCGTTTAGTCCTCTTTTAGTCATGTTTAAATCCTGTTTTAACCCTATTTTAGTCCTGGTTTAGTCCTAGTTTAGTCCTGGTTTAGTCCTCCTGGTTTAGTCCTCTTTTAGCCCTGTTTTAGCCCTAGTTTAGTCCTAGTTTAGTCCTGGTTTAATTCTGGTTTAGCTCTAGGTTAGTCCTGGTTTAGTCCTGGATTAGTCCTGTCCTGTTTAGTCCTGGTTTAGTTCTGGTTTAGTCCTCCTGGTTTAGTCCTCTTTTAGCCCTGTTTTAGTCCTGGTTTAGTTCTGGTTTAGTCCTCCTGGTTTAGTCCTCCTGGTTTAGTCCTCTTTTAGCCCTGTTTTAGTCCTGGTTTAATCCTAGTTTAGTCCTAGTTTAGTCCTGGTTTAATTCTGGTTTAATTCTGGTTTAGCTCTAGGTTAGTCCTGGTTTAGTCCTGGTTTAGTCCTGGATTAGTCCTGTTTTAACCCTATTTTAGTCCTGGTTTAGTTCTGGTTTAGTCCTCCTGGTTTAGTCCTCCTGGTTTAGTCCTCTTTTAGCCCTGTTTTAGTCCTGGTTTAATCCTAGTTTAGTCCTAGTTTAGTCCTGGTTTAATTCTGGTTTAATTCTGGTTTAGCTCTAGGTTAGTCCTGGTTTAGTCCTGGATTAGTCCTGTTTTAACCCTATTTTAGTCCTGGTTTAGTTCTGGTTTAGTCCTCCTGGTTTAGTCCTCTTTTAGCCCTGTTTTAGTCCTGGTTTAATCCTAGTTTAGTCCTGGTTTACTTTGTCCCACATTTAACCCCTCGCCCTCTGCCTCCCTCTGCTGTCCACTCGCCGCCACTACACCTCCGTGACTCCAATCTCAAAATGCTCGGCGCAGCACCGGGATCTTATTCCCCGCGCGACATCTGTTTTTGCCTCTTTCCACGCTCCATCTGTCCGCTCCCACCCATGCCACTCGTTTTAGCACGGCTTCGTCATCACCCCGCGACATTATTTACCTCCAGCCCGTTTGCGCTCGGCTTTATCCGCGGCTCTTTCGGCGATTTTACGCATTCGCAGCGATGGAAGTGAACCGGGACGAGGCGGAGCGCTGCGTCGAGATCGCGGCCGAAGCTCTGACCAGGGACCAGCCCGAGAAAGCGCTTCGATTCCTGGAGAAGGCGCAGAGATTGTTCCCGACGGAGAAAGCCAGAGGTGAGAAGATGGAGGAGGAGGAGGATGAGGAGAGACCTGGGAGAGACCCGGGGGACTGGAGGTCGCAGCGGCCGCATCAGCATCACCTGCAGCGGCCGGAGATGCGCGGCCTCTTCCCCCCGGATCAACGTTTAGCTCCAGTGTTAGCGCAGACTGAGAGTTTTAGCACCGATTGTCAAATAAATAAATCTATATTTTGGTTTATTTTAGGAGGAAGATGCTACAAATAGGTGTCTGTATGTTAGCAATAGCAGTTTGTAGCTTACGACTAATTTAAGGCATATTATTATATTTTATTTTTTATTTTAAACGGTGTAACTTTTCGATTAGGGCATCATTTATCTTGAGGATGTTGCAGTTTTTGTCTGGAGTGTTTCTCAGTGTGGCATTAAACGTTTCCATCTCCATGGTGACAAGCAGGTGATGCCACTTCCCCAATTTACAGCTGGTTCAGTCCTGGTTTACTCCTGGTTTGGTTTGGTCCTGTTCTGCTCCTGGTTTGGTCTTGTTCTAGTCCTGGTTTAATCCTGGTTTAGTTTAGTCCTGGTTTAGTCCTGGTTTGGTCTTTTTCTAGCCCTGGTTTGGTCCTGGTTTAGTCCTAGTTTAATCCTGTTCTGCTCCTGGTTTGGTCCTGGTTTAATCCTGGTTTAGTTTATTCCTAGTCCTGATTTGGTCTTGTTCTAGTCTTGGTTTGGTCCAGGTTTGGTCTTGGTTTAGTCCTGGTTCAGCCTTGGTTTTGTCCTGGTTTATTTCTGGTTTAGTTCTAGTTTAGTTTTGTTCCAGTCCTGGTTTAGTTCTGGTTTAGTCCTTGTTTAGTCTTGGTTTAGTTCTAGTTTAGTTCTGGTTTGGTCTTGTCCTGTTCTAGTCCTAGTTTAGCTCTGGTTTAGTCGTGTTTTTTTCCTGTTCTAGTCCTGGTTTGGTCCTGTTCTAGCCCTGGTTTGCTCCTGGTTTAGTTCTGGTTTGGTCCTGTTCTAGCCCTGGTTTGCTCCTGGTTTAGTTCTGGTTTAGTCCTGGTTTGGTCCTGTTCTGCTCCTGGTTTGGTCTTGTTCTAGTCCTGGTTTAATCCTGGTTTAGTTTTATCCTGTTTTTTTCCTGGTTTGGTCTTTTTCTAGCCCTGGTTTGGTCCTGGTTTAGTCCTAGTTTAATCCTGTTCTGCTCCTGGTTTGGTCCTGGTTTAATCCTGGTTTAGTTTATTCCTAGTCCTGATTTGGTCTTGTTCTAGTCTTGGTTTGGTCCAGGTTTGGTCTTGGTTTAGTCCTGGTTTAGTCCTGGTTCAGCCTTGGTTTTGTCCTGGTTTATTTCTGGTTTAGTTCTAGTTTAGTTTTGTTCCAGTCCTGGTTTAGTTCTGGTTTAGTCCTGGTTTGGTCCTGTTCTAGCCCTGGTTTAGTTCTGGTTTAGTTCTGGTTTAGTCCTGGTTTGGTCCTGTTCTAGCCCTGGTTTGCTCCTGGTTTAGTTCTGGTTTAGTCCTGGTTTAGTTCTGGTTTAGTCCTGGTTTGGTCCTGTTCTAGCCCTGGTTTACCACTTCATGACGTCACAAGGTGGAAATGAGTGTTTTCACTTATTCAGTTACTAGTGATTTTATAGTTCCAAAAACACCTTAAAAAAACAACAACATTCTGACTGTGAACGGGGTCGCCTCTCCACAGACCTGACCTGTAACTTGGTCTGGTTTGGTCTCCGTGAAGACAGAAAGGTTTAATGCCACACTGTGAAACATTCCAGATAAAGCAAGAGCAAGCAAGCAACATCTGTATGGAGAAAAGGATTTGACGGACCCTCCTCCAGAAAAGTTACACAGTGGATCTTTAAATGTTTGACAGTCTGGTACAGTGAGTTCAGAGTCAGTGTTGTCTTGTATCTATAATGTATCACAGGTTCATTAGATCCTGGGCCTGGACCTGTTTAAGATGCTGTTTTATAATTCATGCATAAACAGACGCCAAAGACAAAGACAGAGCTCCTGCAAGAGTCTCATCTGGTCTCAGCTCTGAAACTAAACAGGACCGGGTCTGGACCGAGCACTGATGGAAGAAGTATTTTGCTACTTAAGTAAAAGTACAGATACCAGAGCAACCGAAGATTTTTTCACGTGATACTTTTACTTCAAGGTCCAAAGTTCAAGGTTCTTCAAATAAAGAACCTTGAAACTTGAAGTAAAAGTATCACATGAAAAAATCTACTTAAGTAAAAGTATTAAAGTGCCTAATAGTCCAGTGAGGTTCATTTGGTCTTGTGATAATTTATGTTATTAGGTTCGTTCAGACCAAGAGTTTGTTTTCAGACCTGACAGTTTGGACCGCTCCCTGCGCTCTTCCTCAGAGTCATGTGAAGTTGCTGTAACGTGTCCACTGAGCTGATTTATACAGGTTTTGGTGCTGTTTTCCTACCAAAGGAGGGAGGATGGAAAAGGTCATGGTGTATTTATAAATGGGTATTTATTTATATATATTTATTTTGGGTAATGACCGAAAGGACGAGATCGCAGATACAAGCGGCCGAAATGAGTTTCCTTCACAGGGTGTCTGGATGCTCCCTTAGAGATACGGAGCTCAGTCACACAGGAGGAGCTCGGAGTAGAGCCGCTGCTCCTTCTCGTCGAGAGGAGCCAGTTAAGGCTCCTCCTGGGCAGTGTTCTGGGCATGTCCCACCAGGAGGAGACCTTGGGGAAGATCCAGGACACACTGGAGGGACTATGTCTCAGGGCTGGCCTGGGAACTCCTCAAGGTCCCCCCAGAGGAGCTGGAGGAAGTGTCTCGGGTGAAGGAAGTCTGGGAGTCCCTGCTTAGACTGCTGCCCCTGTGACCCGGCCCTGGATAAGTGGAAGAAAATAGACAGATGGATATTTATATTTGAGTATTTATATAAGAGTTGTAGAAATGTATTTTTTAAAATTTGTATGAAGATTTAAAAGTGCTTAATAACAGTTATGTTGTGAGTCTGGACTGAAATGGAAGGATCATGTTCTATTTAGTTCTTTGTAGTTCCCTCTGTTTTACTGTATTGTTTTTTTTATTTTTTTATTTCTGTAGTACATTTGATGATACCACATCACAATACTTCAGTTACATCCAAAGTAACAAACAGAGAAGTGGGACGGACATGTTCCAGTTTGTTCCTTTAAAATTAAGCACCACATGTATCAACTGTAAAGAGAAAAGTATTTTCTAAAAACATACATATATTTTTAGGAGAAGCATCAAGTCTTTTCAAGTCACAGGGCTCAAGTCTGAGTCAAGCCCCAAGTCACTGACCTGTGAGTCCAAGTCGAATCCCAAGTCCCAAATCTTAGTCCATTTTATGACGAACACTGACGAATACGAGGAGAGGGAGGGGACTGTGTTTGTGTGATTGCCTTCTTGTTACATATATTTATCTTAACATTAACCCAAGCTTTCTTTTTGTTTTCTTCTTGTAGTCTTGCAGGACCTGATCTCAAAGAATGGATTTAGACCCCGAAATAACAACCACACGCATTTCAATTCAACGTCCGAACCGAGACAGAGATACCAAAGTCCTCGAGAAGATCCAAAACCAGAGGAAAAGCCGTCGGAGAACCAGAAATCCTACACAACAGAACAAGTGGAGGCGGTACGGAGGTAAGAGGCAGTTTATAGACAGAGAATGAGCTGATAAGACGAGATAAATTTGAAACACCACCACTGTATCGGCTGTTAGTGTAAAACATGGCTGATTTTCTGGGCTTATTCCAGTTTTCAAGAGCAGAGGTCAAGTTTTAAAGGGTTAGTCTCCATTAACAGATACAGGACGACGGTTTATTAATATCTGAAAGTGCATGTATCATTCAGGACTCAGGAAGCGCACACAAAATGAAATATTGATCACTTTATGACAGGACTCAGACCAGAAAAGGTTTAAAGCAGAAAATACTATAACACATCCATCCTATAAAATAAAAAAATGTTGTTTCAATTGGAGCGTATGCAAAAAAAACTGTAAGATATTGTGTGTAATTAAAAAGAAATAAAATAAACATTAGATCTGCTAAAAAGGGGATAACATTCTCAGTTTTTGCCATCTCATAAAATATTAGTGTGTGAGTGTACCATCTCGCTTTCCTGGGATCCAGAATACACGCTTCTGTAATACTTGATTGACAGGTGGATCAGCCAATCAGGGACATGCATGGTGCAGCTGTATGAAAACAAATACGGCTGCCTGCTGATGGGAAAAAAACTAAATCAATGAGCAAAAGCGCTAAAGTGTGTTCATCTGAAACCTAATTTGAACTTTGTGCTTTCTTCTAATAAGACAAAAGTTGTAAAAAGTAATGCACCAATAATATATGACCAGTGAGCTCCTGCATTTCACACGAGTCACTGAAATAAACAGAATCTGATCTAAAAATCAAGGAGATATATTTTGTTGATGTGCCAGGCAGCCATCTTGGAATTAATCAAAACTAAACCAGGTGTAAAACTGGATTACCATATTTTCTGGACTCCGGAGTATAAGTCGCACCAGCCAAAAAATGCGTAAAGAAGAAAAAAAACATATATAAGTTGCACTTTTGGAGGGGAAATTATTTTATAAAATCAGAGACCAGGAACCGACATTTCCTTTAAAGGTCAAGTTCAAGTAAAAACAATAAAACGGAGAACATCAGACTGTTAACGTCACATATGAACAGTTCTTCAGATAAACTATAACATAAACAACAGAACAGAACAAGTTTAACAAACTCTCCATCTCACTCCAAATCACTAAATCCATTCAATTCTTCATCCTCGGTGTCACTTCTGAGCAACTCCACGACCTCCGGAGGTAAACAGAGCGCCGCTTCCTCTTCTGTGTCGCTGTCGTCAGACTCAGCATCAGTTCCAGTTAGAATTATTCGGGTCTTTCTGAATCCCGACAGGATGGTTTCAGTGTCACTGAAGTTTCAGGCTTTGTCCATCCATCCAGTGACTTCAGGAAACTTTCATGGTGCATCCTCCCAGTGTCACAAGTTTCTCTCTCAGCCCAAACTTTCTTTCTGCTGCTCGATTATCATTTTCAGCTGCAGATTTCACGACTTGCAGTTTGTAATCTGCAAAATATGATTTTCTTTTTGGGGGCGTTTGTGTTCAGTCTTCTCTGTTTGTTTAAATGTTAAATTGTTCAGTGGTGCAGAAGTAATGGTGCGATCGACTGACATGATACAGACAGGACAGAGGCTCTTTCTGCAGGAGACATGTGCAGTAGAGCCAAGTGACAGTGGTACAGGAGGAACAGGAGCAGCAGATACTCACACACAAGACTAGAACCTCTCCACACTTCACTCTCAACATTTTAATATATAAATCGCACCAGAGGATAAGTCTCAGGAAACACCCAAACCATGAAAAAAAGTCCAATTTATAATCTGAAAATTAGGTAATATTAACTTGGTCTATAGAATAAAGTAAACATCCATGTTACATTAACTAGATTCTTGCTGCTTGCAATGTTTTGTAAAATTTCAGGCAGTGAAGGTGCAGATGATTCACCATCTGTGTAAAAATAGCTGGTTTAGTTTCAAGGGCAACAGCACCATGTCCCTGTTTCTCCTCAGTCTGTGTTTGTGTGTTTGAGTTTATGTTTGTGTGTGAGGGAACATTCTATAGATCTATAATAATATTTAATACAGATGAAGCAGGTCAAATGAACATGATTAAAATTAAGAATTGTGTATTGTTGTATAGCAAGTTCAAGGGTTTAGTTACTAATAGAAACAAAATCTGGTTTAACATTAGTACATTTACTGTCTAACCATCTTTAGTTTAGTGTCGAAAACTTTATTGATCCTTTGAAATTGGCCGCCCCCACCCTCTGGAACTCTCTCCCCCTTCACGTCAGAAACTCAGACTCATGAAACACCTTCAAAAAACTGCTCAAAAAACACCTTTCTCTCTCAGATTTGTCTCATAACGGCACGTTGGCTGAACACAGCAAGAAGGTTCTGGGTTTGACAGGATCAGAACATAAATGCAAATGAGGCACGAAGTGTAAAGGGCAGACACAAAACAGAACAACAACATTAAAAATCATGTTTTCATCCCTGAAGTCAATCATTTCTTATCAACAAAAGTTCAAAATTATGTTCCGGTGGTTGCAAAAATAGAAAACAGTAATAAATAACTATAATAATAATAAGTTGTTTGTTAAAAAGAAGCATCGGTCATACATTCTGAGTATTTGTATGATTTATTTGTGTGTTTTGTGTGGTTATTCTCAGGGTAAAACAGTGTAAAGACTTCTACGAGATCCTGGGGGTGCAGAAGGACGCCTCAGACGATGAACTCAAAAGATCGTACAGGAAACTGGCTCTGAAGTTCCACCCGGACAAAAACCACGCGCCGGGAGCAACAGAGGCTTTTAAAGGTACATTTGTCTTTTTCCAAACTTAACAGCAGTATTTAGTCTATAGATGTGGGACTTTTGTTTTATACATGTTTTTTTTTTATGAACTGATGAGAAATTAAAGTGTAAATCACATTTATGGAACAGAAATACAACCTGTTTTACACCTGGTTAAGTTCAGCTCTAGAACCTCTAGTCCCAGTCTTGTTGGTTGTCTGGTTGGTTTAGTCCTGGATCAGTTTAGGTTTAGTCCTGGTTTAGTTCTGGTTTAGCCCTGGTTTAGTCTTGGTTTAGCTCTGGTTTACTCCTGGTTTAGTCCTGGTTTAGACATGGTTTAGTTCTGTTTTAGCCTTAGGTTATTCCTGGTTTAAACCTGGTTTAGCCCAGATTTTGTCCTGGTTTATTTCTGGTTTAGCCCTGATTTAGCCTTGGTTTAGTCCTGGTTTGGTTTTGGTTTAGTCCTGGTTTAGTCCTGGTGTAGCCCTGATTTAGCCTTGGTTTAGTCCTGGTTTAGCCCTGGTTTAGTCCTGGTTTTATCTTGGTTTAGTCCTGGTTTACTTCTGGTTTAGTCCTGGTTTAGGGTTTAGTCCTGGTTTAGTCCTGGTTTAGGGTTTAGCCCTGGTGGTTTAGTCCTGGTTTAGTCTTGGTTTAGTCCTGGTTTGATCTTGGTTTAGTCCTGGTTTAGCCCTGGTTTAGTCTTGGTTTAGTCTTGGTTTTAGTCCTGGTTAGTCCTGGTTTAGCCTGGTTTTCTTGGTTTTTAGTCCTGGTTTGATCTTGGTTTAGTCCTGGTTTGATCTTGGTTTAGTCCTGGTTTGATCTTGGTTTAGTCCTGGTTTAGTACTGGTTCAATAGCCTACGAGTTTAACAGTTTTTGATTGGACCACTCCTGACATAGAGCTACTTAAATCCTTCTTATTTAGTCCTGGTTAAGTTCTAATTTAGTCCTGGTTTAGCCCTGATTTCTTCATGAGACAACTCTTGTACAATCATTTTTCAAAATATACCAGTTTATATTGGTTTATTTCCCTCTTCAGCCATCGGAAACGCGTACGCCGTCCTGAGTAACTCGACCAAGCGCAGACAGTACGATGAATACGGCGAGGAGCGGCCACACCCCCACAGACCCGGGACTAATCACAACACGTTTGAACCGGACATCTCACCTGAGGATCTGTTTAACATGTTCTTTGGAGGAGGATATCCAACAAGTGAGTCCAACTTTACATCATCATCAGACTTAAAGGTCCTATATTACACAAAATTGACTCTTGTGAGGTTTAAGTCGTGTTATAATGTCGTTACCTCCTCGAAAACAGACCTGGAGTTTTGTTTTCTTTCATTCACACATGTTTAAGTGACTCTTTATTATTAGTCTTCCACTTTGTGATGTCACGGTGGCTGAGCACTCATGCCTCACAGCAAGAAGGTTCTGGGTTCAATCCCCAGGTCGCCCGGGCCTTTCTGTGTGGAGTTTGCATGTTTCTCCCCGTGTCTGGATGGGTTTCCCCCATCAACCCAAACATGCTGCATAGGTCTCCATAAACAGTTGATAGTCATGGTCAGTTAAAAATACAATCAATTCAGTCATTGTGTCCTTAGGCAAGACACTTTGCCCCATTTGCCTAGTATGAAAGTGTGTGAGTGATGGTGGTGGTCAGAGGGACCGATGGCGCCGAGTGGAATGGCAGCTGTGCTTCTGTCCGTGTGCCCCAGGGCAGCTGTGGCTACAATAGTAGCTTACCATCACCAGGTATAGAGTGAATGAATAAAGTGTAAAGCGTCTTTGGGGGCAGAAATGTCTGTTAAAGTGCTATATAAATAAAGACTTACTTACATGAAGCGGTAGTTTCCAAGTTAACAGCTGCTTTTACCTTTAGTTCAGTAGAGAAATCAGAGAAATGTCAATTTCTGAAATCATCCAAATGATTCTAGTGAAGGTGTGTGGAGTTTAAAAACACAGTGGAGCACTTCATGTATGTTGTTAAGAGAAGAGAAGAACTCATCTTAAATATGCAGTGTATCATTGATTAAGGTCAAGGTTAGAAATCCTGGTAACCCATGGGAAGTAAATGTTTTTTCTTTTACCTGACTATTATTAGATTTTGTAGACTAGTCTGTACTTAAGTATAATTTTGTTGCATAATCTTTGTAAGTCAGATTTTGATTCTTTCAGGTAATGGTCATGCATACACTCACACCAGAACCAGGTACCAGAGACCTCCTCCCAGAAGAGAACGCCAGAGAGATGTGAGTCACAGGCCCTGCTGTTTCTATCACTCACCACTAGAGGGAGACATTTAGTTATTAATCTACCTGTTTGTGCCTTGGATTTTTTTTTTTGAGAAAGAAAAAACAAGACCATTAGGTACTGACATTTTTGTTGCATCAAGTAGTAAAATTGTCGGCGTTAGATGACTTATTGCATTATCAGTGTCTGTTGAGGGGTAGTTTCAGTATGAAAAGGGTTAGGTATTTGCAACGTGATTTATTTAGCATATATTTACTGATTGTTATGTACAGAAATAGTTTGTTTTTGTGTTATAATGTTTTCTCTCTCTCTCTCTCTTTCAGGGCGGTCTGGCTCTGTTCGTGCAGGTGATGCCGATCCTGATCCTGGTCATAGTCTCAGCTCTGAGTCAACTTATGGGCCACAGTCCAGCCTACAGCCTCAGCTACAGACCGTGAGTCTACACAATATATACAAAATATATCTGTATTTAACCACACATGACACCATATGCAGCCTACAGCCTCAGCTACAGATCGTGAGTCTGTATCAGGGATCTCCAATCTTTTGCGTCTGGGGAGTTACCTTTACAAAATGAATCATTTTAGCGGTCACAAGAAATTGAGTCAGTATAAGAGGGTAAGCCTTCAATGTACAGTTAGATATAAAACTTAAAGCCATTATCTATTTATTAGAGCACAAAGTTCAAAATAAAATAGTTACAGTAGTAGAGTTATTCAATACAGTACGTATAATTCAGAAATCACTTGGTGAGCTACTTGTAAGGGGGTGGAAAGCTACTGGTAGCTCCTGAGCTACAGTTTGGTGACTCCTGGTCAATATAATATAAATATATACAAATATATCTGTACACATAACACCATATACATACAAACTACAACCTCAGCTATAGACATGAGTAGTGCTGGCACCTTTTATTATTTTAGGTACCACCAGTCAAATTATACCTATTTTTGGTTCTGGTACCTGCACAGTACTTTGGTTTTTCCTGTATCAGTACTCATTATCTCGAATAACAAATAAGAATATTTATAAATTCAAGTCAATTTGAAACAAAAAAAAACAGTAGTTTTCATCGTTCATCTGTGGTCACACTGCCTACTAACTTTCTAAAGTACTTTCCCAGAATCAACTGACAAGTTTAATATAAGTATTTATTTATATAACTCATTTGTACATCCATCCACACATAGACTCAGCTACAGAGTGTGAAGAAGTCTGGTCAAAAGTTTTAGAACACCCTCATTTTTCCGGTTATTTATTGCACTTCCAATGAGGAGCTTGAAATGGTTCAAAGGTAAGAACTGAACAGACTGAGGTTAAAAAAAAAAAGATAAAAGAAACAAAACACAAGTCCAAGCTCTGCCAAAACTACCTCAGGAAAAAAGAACAAGATGGTAAAGCTTGAAAACCTGGAGTGTCCAGCAGCAGCACAGTGTCCAGACTTAAACCTCATCGAGCTGGTTTGGGATGAACTGGACAGAAGAGTGAAGCAACCGACAAGTGCCACACATTTACGGAAACTTCTGCAACAGACTTGGGAAGAACTTTCTGAAGAACATTTGATTTCTGTTGTAAAAAGAACGAGCCACAGGTGTGTTCAGCTTTTATATCTACCAAAGGTGGACACTTTCATGAATCTTAAAGTTTAGAATCCGTTTTGATCAACAGTAAACAGTAAACAAACTGAAAAAGTGTGGTGTTCTGAAACTTTTGACCGGTCGTGTACAGTAAATCAGGTTTTAAATATTAGGACTGGAAATTAAATTATTACATATGGTAACTATTTTTTAAAGCACACCCACACTAAATATGTTAATTATTAGAACTAGAGTGAAAAACAGCTTTGATCCACAAGCTGTTAAAACGATCACACTGAACATGTAACGCACATATTATATTAGCCTTTCTGTTACATAATGTTGTTTAATCTGGGAGTTGCTTTTTTTTTTTTTTTTTTTTTTTACCTGAAAATGACAATAAATAAATCTAATCAAATCTTATGAGAATGCAATAGATTTTTAGGACACTAGGAAGTATCGGAAGTATTATTACTGCATTACTTAAACATTAAACTTCACTCAGCAGTAGTAAAGTAGTAGTTTAGTCCTGGTTTAGTCTTTGCTTAGTCTTGATTTAGACCTAGTTAAATCCTGGTTTAGTCCTGGTTTAGTCTTGGTTTAGTCCTGATTTAGTTCTGGTTTAGTCCTGGTTTAGTCTTGATTTAGACCTGGTTTAGTCCTGGTTTAGTCCTGGTTTAGTCTTGATTTAGTCCTGGTTTAGTCCTGGTTTAGTCTTGGTTTAGTCTTGATTTAGACCTGGTTTAGTCCTGGTTTAGTCCTAGTTTAGTCTTGGTTTAGTCCTGATTTAGACCAAGTTTAGTCCTGGTTTAGTCCTGGTTTAGTCTTGGTTTAGTCCTGATTTAGACCTAGTTTAGTCCTGGTTTAGTCCTGATTTAGACCATGTTTAGTCCTGATTTAGTCCTGGTTTAGTCTTGGTTTAGTCCTGATTTAGACCAATTTTAGTCCTGATTTAGTCCTGCTTTAGTCTTGATTTAGTCCTGGTTTAGTCTTGGTTTAGTCTTGATTTAGACCTGGTTTAGTCCTGATTTAGACCAAGTTTAGTCCTGATTTAGTCCTGCTTTAGTCCTGGTTTAGTCTTGTTTTAGTCCTGATTTAGACTTAGTTTAGTCCTGGTTTAGTCCTGATTTAGACCAAGTTTAGTCCTAGTTTAGTCCTGGTTTAGTCCTGCTTTAGTCTTGATTTAATCCTGATTTAGTCCTGGTTTAGTCTTGGTTTAGTCTTGATTTAGACCTGGTTTAGTCCTGGCTTAGTCCTAGTTTAGTCTTGGTTTAGTCCTGATTTAGACCAAGTTTAGTCCTGATTTAGTCCTGCTTTAGTCTTGATTTAGTCCTGATTTAGTCCTGGTTTAGTCTTGGTTTAGTCTTGATTTAGACCTGGTTTAGTCCTGGTTTAGTCTTGGTTTAGTCCTGATTTAGACCTAGTTTAGTCCTGCTTTAGTCTTGATTTAGACCTAGTTAATCCTGATTTAGTCCTGCTTTAGTCCTGGTTTAGTCTTGTTTTAGTCCTGATTTAGACTTAGTTTAGTCTTAGTTTAGTCCTGATTTAGACCAAGTTTAGTCCTAGTTTAGTCCTGGTTTAGTCCTGCTTTAGTCTTGATTTAGTCCTGATTTAGTCCTGGTTTAGTCTTGGTTTAGTCTTGATTTAGACCTGGTTTAGTCCTGGCTTAGTCCTGGTTTAGTCTTGGTTTAGTCCTGATTTAGACCAAGTTTAGTCCTGATTTAGTCTTGATTTAGTCCTGATTTAGTCCTGGTTTAGTCTTGGTTTAGTCTTGATTTAGACCTGGTTTAGTCCTGGTTTAGTCTTGGTTTAGTCCTGATTTAGACCTAGTTTAGTCCTGGTTTAGTCCTGCTTTAGACCTAGTTTAGTCCTGGTTTAGTCTTGATTTAGTCCTAGTTTAGTTTTGATTAGTCCTGGTTTAGACCTAGTTTAGACCTAGTTTAGTCCTAGTTTAGACCTAGTTTAATCCTGGTTTAGCCTTTCTGTTATGTTGCTTAATCTGTGAGTTGCTTTTTTTTTTTTTTTTTTTTTTACCTGAAAATGACAATAAATAAATCTAATCAAATCCTATGAGAATGCAATAGGTTTAAGTTTTTAGGACACTGGGAAGTATCAGAAGTATTATTACTGCATTATTTAAACATTAGTAGTAAACGAGTCCTGACGAGGCTGCTGGTCTACGCCACGAACCCTCTGACTCCACACTCACTCACACTCACTCACTCACTCACACATTCACACATTCACACGGAGACAAAGTGACGAATAATTACACTTGTGTTGTTGTGCTGAGTCCCTCGTTTTTCACAGTTCCTCCTCCTCTTCTTCTTCTTCTTCTCCATCTGAATCTGACTCATCGTCCACACACTCTCCTCTCTCTCTCTCTCCTCTGTTTTTCATCCTCCTCTTCTGTTCCACCTCATGATTCTTTCGTCATTCTCATTGTTCTCCTCGTCTTGGGTTTGGGCGAGAAAGCAAAAAATATTACAGGTTTTGTTTTTTTCAGTTTGACTAAAGACATGCAGTGCAACTTTCTATTTTTCACTCACGATTAGAAAAAAATGAATCTTGAGTAAAAAATTAAACAAAATTTTCTTGTTCTGACTTTGTCCTGGTTTAGTCCCGGTTTAGACCTAGTTTAGTCCAGGTTTAATCCTGGTTTAGTCCTGATTTAGCCTTTGTTTAGTCTTGGTTTAATTCTGGTTTAGTTCTGGTTTAGTCCTGGTTTAGACCTGGTTTAGCCCGGGTTTAGTCTTGGTTTAGGTCTGGTTTAGACCTAGTTTAGTCCTGATTTAGTCTGGGTTTAGCCCTGGTTTAGTCTTGGTTTAATCCTGGTTTAGCTCTGGTTTAGCCTTTGTTTAGTCTTGGTTTAATTCTGGTTTAGTTCTGGTTTAGTCCTGGTTTAGACCTGGTTTAGCCCGGGTTTAGTCTTGGTTTAGGTCTGGTTTAGACCTAGTTTAGTCCTGATTTAGTCTGGGTTTAGCCCTGGTTTAGTCTTGGTTTAATCCTGGTTTAGCTCTGGTTTAGTCTTTGTTTTTAGTCTTGGTTTAGGTCTGGTTTAATCCTGATTTAGTCTTGGTTTAGTACTGGTTTAGTTCTTGCTTAGCCCTGGTTTAATCCTGGTTTAGGTCTGGCTTAGTCTTTGTTTAGTCCTGGTTTAGTCTTGGTTTAATTCTGGTTTAGTTCTGGTTTAGTCCTGGTTTAGTTTTTGTTTAGTCCTGGTTTAGTCTTGGTTTAATTCTGGTTTAGTTCTGGTTTAGTCTTGGTTTAGCTTTGGTTTAGTCCTGGTTTAGACCTAGTTTAGTCCTGGTTTAGTCCTGGTCCATGCTACATCTTTAATACCAAATAAATGAGACTTTCAATCCTATTTTCATAATCTTTGTCTGTAAATTTCTCCATTAAAAGTTTACTATTGACAATTAGAAAAAAACCTGAACCTTGAGTAAAAATTTAACAAAATTTCGATCTCCGTTTGCGTCCAGGTCGGCGGGTTACTCCCAGAAGCGTCTGACGGAGAAGCTGAGGGTCCCGTACTTCGTGGGGGAACATTTTTCTAAAGAATGGAGCGGAATGAACCTGAAGAACCTGGAGCGGAGCGTGGAGGAGGACTACATCTCCAACCTGAGAAACAACTGCTGGAAAGAGAAACAACAGAGTAAAAACAACACACAAATAAAACCCGAAAGCTCAAATAAGACTTTAAAGTTTTAATCTAATACAATCTGACCATAAAAAACGGATTTATCTCAAACTACAACATTGAGATTTGTTTAAAAAAGTCCTTCTCCCTCGTACTGATCACATGCGTCTGAAATTGTGCTCTTTAAATCCATTTTGTATTTTTTCAGATTATTTTAAATGTTTTTGGCATATGGAAGATAATTTCTTTCATCAGATTTAGATTTTTAAATGCCGTTGAATTTCTCACCAACTCTGAAAAAACATGTTTGAATTATTTTTTTATACTGAATGGCAGTTGATGAAATTTTAAGTGTACGTTTTCGAAGTGTTTAAAATTCAATATAAAAAAATCACTTTTTAAATATTCAGCACAAATATTTTCAAGGTTTCAAATTCAACAGTCAAAATTTAGAGCAGAAAATTTGCAGTGAAAAATTTTATAGGAAATAGTCCTGGTTTAGACCTACTGTAGTTTAGTCCTGGTTTTGTCCTGGTTTAGACCCAGTTTAGTCCTGGTTTATTCCTGGTTTAGACCTAGTTTAGTCCTGGTTTATACCTAGTTTAGTCTTGATTTAGTCTTGGTTTAGACCTAGTTTAGTCCTGGTTTATTCTTGGTTTAGTCCTGATTTAGACCTTGTTTAGTCCTGGTTTAGTCCTGGTTTAGACCTAGTTTAGTCCTGCTTTAGTCATGGCTTAGTCCTGATTTAGACCTAGTTTAGTCCTGGTTTAGTCCTAGTTTAGTCCTGGTTTGGTCTTGATTTAGTCCTGGTTTAGTCTTGGTTTTCAAAGTGTTGTTAAATTATTTATTTATTTTTAATCACCTTTTAAATATTCAACACAAATATTTCCAAGCCCTCAAATTCAAGTGTAAAATTCAGAGTAAAAAAAATTAGCAAGAGATGCCAAGGCAGACACAATCGATCCAATGTGATCCAACCTAACTTAGTAACAAAGTAAAAAATAAAATTATAAAAGTTTATTGTCAATTTTCATATGAAAGAAGGAGGAAATAGTGCAATGAACTGATCAGAATTAAACTAATCAAAACCTCCTCTCTTTTATTTCTGAAGTGTAAACCTCACCAGGGCTTGAAAATATTTGTGCTGAATATTTAAAAGTTGACATTTTTATTTTGAAACATATTGAAAAAGTACATTTAAAATTTCCTTTCCAGACTAGGGCCTGTTGTATAGTTATCAGAGAGGATAGGGCATATTCTTAGTCATATTTTTAATTATTTGTGTGTGTTTTGTTTCCTTTACAGAGGAGGGCGTGTTTATAGTGTTTTAATAATGTTTGTGTGTTTCTTTGCAGAGGAGGGCATGTTGTACAGAGCGCGATACTTTGGAGACTCAGACCTGTATGAAAGAGCTCAGAGGGCCCGGACCCCGAGCTGTGCCAAACTCTCTGAGATATCAGCCTCGATTCACTGACAAAGAACTTCAACCTCTACAGTGAATTTACGGTACGGTATTTTTACTCTACTTTACCTTAAAACACTGCCTCTGACAATTTACTCAGTATTTAGTGTTGTAAAATATAATTAGTTTGTTGTTAGTGCAAAGTATGGTCCTTTTCTTTTTTTAATAACTTCTGAGGATCCCCTCCACACTGTTTTTCTTGTGTGTCTGTGGGGAATTTGTCACCTTCATATGAGCAGTGTTATTTATGCAGTGAACAGTCAGGTACTTAGAGATAACAACTAACATAGCTGGACATATTGTGGCTTTAATTGGCATCTTAAACATGTTATTAAAAAATAATATATTCATTTGGAAAACACACTAAGGGTGCACTCACATGAGGACTTTAGAACCGTGCCCAAGCACAGATCGCCCTTAAAGCGCCGTACGTTTGTCCAGGGTGAACGTAAACAAATTGTGCCCGAGCACGGCACGGTTGGGACTTTGGACTGATTGGAGGAGGTGGGCCAAAGTACAACACAGAACTCATGTACGTGCACACACATGACTTTACTATACAAGCCCTGTGTGTGCTCTGATGTTACTCATACGAGGAAAACAGTGAATGAACTTCGCTCTAAAACACACAGTGAATCTGCGTTTACCTTCAATAAGGACAGTGACAGACAGAAGTTTTGCTGCCTCTGGTCTCTGGCTGTACTCACTTCTCCACACTGTATTTATCTTCATAAACTCACAGAGGAGCACATATCATAAAAGGACGTACATGAGCCTCACTATTTAATAGATATTTCTGCAGCTGGACTTTTTTTCTCCACTAAAAGCGTTAGCACATGTAAACAAACAGCGCCATGTGCTGATGTCATCAGCCGTGGCTCGGTTTGGTTGTGCAGGTGTGAGTGTGGAACATAAAACCCACAGCAATCGTGCTTGAGCACAACACGGCTCTAAATTCCTAGTGTGAGTCGCCCTTAAACTACACCTCCATTTCCAGTGCAGTATTCAGGCATTGTCACTAGTTGGAATGAACAATAAAAAACATAATCATAAGCTCAAAAAGTCAGTTTTCCACAATAATTCATTTGTTTAATACAGCTTTTTTCCACACACTCAAAGTGGCTTTACAATTCAATGTAGTTTTTATTCACTCCGTTCACTCAGTGGCCCTGGGGCAGACTGACAGAAGTGAGGCGGTCACTCTGCTCCATCGGCTCCTCTGACACCACATTCATGTTAGGTAATATTGGTGAAGTGTCTTACGTAAGAAAACAATGACAGTTTTTGCCCCTGCTGCTCCACTCTGGCACCTGATATTCTCCACGGCCTCTTGTCCAAGTACTACCCAAGACTTGGCCACACAAACCTGCATAATGTACTTTAAAAACAGCAGTATTTGATTGAGTGACTCAGTATCGTTGTAGTTTCCTCACAGACTAATTAAACATGTGTACTTTTGTCGTTTCTCTTCAGGTTTCTTGGACATGTTGAACTACTGGCTGTAAATACAAACCAATGCACTGGACTCCTCGAGAAACCTCCTCTGGAATTTATCAATACGTTTAATCAATACTTAGGCTAATATGAACTTTTATGTATTAACAAAATCCCAGTTTAGTTGGTCTTCCTGTCGCAAACAACTTTAAATTAGAAAAATATTAGAGTCTGTGCCAAAAAAAACAAAAGAAGAATATTGTAATTATAACTTTGCAAGATAGCATTAACAAATTTGGAAAATAATATCGTAGCGCTGGATTAAGGACCTCAATGAATGCTTCCTTTAATTTATATGCAAATTTTACATTTTATTTTGCAATGTCAATGCACATTTTATATTTTAAACTATGCAGAAATAATGTGAAATCTCTGAAAAAAGCCATTTAAAGGGCCTGTACCCGATTTTTTTCCCAACATATGGTCAAAATGAGTCTGCAGTGTGCTGTCTTCATCAAATCAGGAAGTGCACAGTTGGCATGCTAGTTGCTGTGAGGGTAAAAACTCCGCCCTGGCCTCTGAAAGTTGGCATGGTGAATATTTAGGACACTCTGAATGCATAAGGTAAGTGAGGAATAAAAATGCCGATGACAGATAGTAAAAAACTTTATATTTAAGAGTTTTAAGTTGAAATTTAACTATTTTTCTCCCAGTCTGGCCAATTTGGAGGTTTACAATTAAACATCCTGCTCGGAAATCACACTCTGGGAATTCCATAACCCAATTTACAAGTAAAAAAACCATTTTTCGGACACTGTGAACATTATACATGCATCCTGAATTTCGGATTTCCGGTCATAGCGTAATTCATACTGGGACGATCCTCCAAAAAAGTGAGCATCAAACCGCCATGTTTGTTTTCCCAGTGGGATGCGTCTATTGACAAATCCGATCTTTTCAAGTCTTTTGAACCGTATCGCTTTTGTTTCTGATTCTGATATTGTCATATTTTAGTTTTGGGATTCGGACATCGTTAATTGTGTGGTTGTTGGATGTTCTAACAGCGGAAACCGGCTCGAGAAATGTGTTTGCGAACTCCATAAATGCAAAAGTGAATCAGATGTGTGTGACTGCAAACCTCTGTTCAAACTGTTTCTCTTCCCAACAGAATTGAAAAATAGTGAAAGGTGAAGGCGATGGGCAAGACTGATCCAAAGGAAGGACCAAAAAGGAAATCTTTGGCTGCCTAAGAAATTATCCAGAGTTTGCAGCGAACATTTTGTATGTGGAGCAACAACAAAGCGGGATCCCGTTTGTTAAGTGAGAGGTGCAGAAGACAAACAGACTGAGCTGCACTCTCTTGTTCTTGTGGTTTTACAGCAACATCACGTCTTGGTCTCTTTGCAGTGGAAGGTGTTTCTTGGTGAACAGCTGGTGCCTTTCGCTTTGGCATTGACTTTTTAAATTCGAAACCAAGGAGTTCACAAAGTTTCGAAGCCCGTTTCTCGAGCCGTTTTCCGCTGTTAGGATCCAGCAACCGCACAATTACGATGTCCGAATCCCAAAACTAAAACATGACGATATCAGAACCATAAACAAAAGCGATGTGGTTCAAAAGACTTCGAAAAAAGGTCGGCTTTGACAATAGACACATCCCACTGAGAAAACAAACATGGAGGTTTGATGCTCACTTTTTCGGAGGATCCTTCTCAGAATGCATTGCGCGATGACCGAAAGTCCGAAATCCGGAATGCGTGTATTTCAACAAAATAAAGGTGTTTGTTTTTTGTATTTTTAGTTGTCATATAAAAATATCTGTGTACATTAGAGGAGTTTTGGCCCTCACCGAGACCAATAAAGTTTGATTCTTGTATCTGATGTTTGCTCTTGAAGCCTCCCTCAGGTTTGCTCCTTCATTTCGTGGTTTTCTTTGGGACTACACTTCATTTGACACATTTGACTGAGGATCAAGGAATGAAGGAGAAGGAAGCAAGGAAACAGAAAAGAGACACGGCCCATGATGTTCTCGGGGCCAAAACTCTTCTAATGTACACAGACATTTTCATTTGACAATAAAAAATACAAGAAAGCACCTTTATTTTGTTGCAATAATGTTCTAAGTGTCAGAAAAATGCGTGTCTTGCGTGTAAATTGTGACAAACTTTTGGGATAGAATTCAATTATCTCTCATTTCTCTTTCCTCGCCTCCTTCTCCTTGATTCCTCTCCTCGATCCTTCAATTTTCAGCTGTCAATCAAATGTGTAACAGAGTAAACATGAGGGAGTCTTCAGGAGCAAAGATCAGAGAAAAGAATCAAACTTTATTGGACTCAGTGCGGAGTTTAGATCCTCGAATTGAGGAACGAAGCCAAGGAGAAGGAAGCGAGGAAAGAGAAATGAGACATGCCACGTATTTCCTTAAATTTTCAACGTATTTTTGAACTTTTTTTTTCACAAATTGCTTCTTGATTTGTGAAAAAAAACTGTCATACGCACTTTTTTTCACTGTTTTTCACATTTTTAAGACTGTAAAAATCAGGTACAGCGCCCTTAAGGTAGTACGTCCAACTGCAGCGCCTGAAGACGATCCCTTTGTGTGAAAACGAGCCACCTTAAATAATACCTCCTTAAAAAAATACCTCCTTAAAAGTCGTGTCCTGCGTTCAGACCGAAAGCTTTAGGACAATGTGGAAAATACACAGCCATAAACAGTATTAAGAAGTCCAGCTGTTTTTAAAGTTTCTAAAGTTTCGGGTGGAGGGTCTGCCATATGTTTGTCTCCATGGAGATGCTGTTGCTTTGCCTGGAATGTTCCACAGTACGGCATTAAACTTGTCAACACTAGATGAAGTTACAGGTCACATCTATGGAAAGGTAACCCCGCTCCGTACCAATGCAGTGGTTTTTAAAGTATGTCTGAGCTTTTAAAACATAAGTAAATGAATAAAATGTAAGATAGACGAGTGTAATGCCATACTGTGGAACATTTCAGGAAAAGCTGTAACATTTGTATGGAGACACAATCGACCCATAGGGAAATTTGTCACTGACCATAGACTGTATATGTCAGGGGTTTTCAAACCGCGCGGCACAGGTATAGTCCTGGTTTTAGACCTTTTTTAGAACTGGTTTAGACCTGATTTAGACCTGGTTTAGAGCTAGTTTAGATCTGGTTTTAGTCCTGATTTTAGTTCTTGTTTTAGTCCTACTTTAGTCCTGGTTTAGACCTGGTTTAGTCCTGGTTTAGACCTGGTTTAGACCTGATTTTAGTCCTAGTTTAGTCCTGGTTTAGACCTGGTTAAATCCTGGTTTAGACCTGGTTTAGACCTGTTTTTAGTTCTGGTTTAAACCTGATTTAGACCTGGTTTAGACCTGGTTTTAGTCCTGGTTTAGTCCTGGTTTAGTCCTGGTTTAGTCTTGGTTAAATCATGGTTTAGACCTGGGTTTAGTCCAGATTTTAGTCCTGGTTTAGAGCTGGTTTAGACCTGCTTTAGACATGGTTTTAGTTCTGGTTTAGTCCTGGTTTTAGTCCAGATTTTAATCCTGATTTAGTTCTTGTTTAGACCTGGTTTAGAGCTGGTTTAGACCTGGTTTTAGTCCTGATTTTAATCCTGATTTTAGTCCTGATTTAGTCCTGGTTTAGTCCTGGCTTAGACTTGGTTTAGTCCTGCTTTTAGTTCTGGTTTAGTCCTAGTTTATACCTGGTTTAGTCCTGGTTTAGACCTGGTTTAGCCCTGTATTAGTCCTGGTTTAGACTTGGTTTAGACCTGGTTTAGTCCTGGTTTATACCTGGTTTAGACCTGGTTAGAAATAGGAAGTGAACACGGGTGCACTTCCGGCACCACCAACTCTGGCTCCAGTTCACTTTGTATTGAAAAACGGTCTCTCCTCTCTCTGTTACTGCTGCTGTCAGACTCATAATTTTGGTCTTAAAATTTTCGTATTAACCCGCTCTACACGATCCTGCTGTTTTTATTTCGCTATTTTGTCCTTAAATTAAGTCCTCTTCCTAAAATGAAGCTTTCCTTTAAACACAAGCCTCGCTGAGCCTCATTTGACTGGAGCCAAACGCTGTGGGCGACATCAAACTCCCTTAATCCACTTTTTTATACAGTCTATGGTCTGGACTACATCAGCTGGAGGATTTGACTTACAGTGCATGTTTTGGGTTAATCGACTTTAAAGGTTGTATAGAGGATTTTTTAAGGGAAGAGAAATACAGCGACAGTCCTTTTTCAAATGTCGTGCAAGCGTGACACCACCTTCCTCCTCCACAGCTCCCTCAGTAGAAACACCTCCTCCCGCCTCATTACTCTAGAAATCACGCTTGTTTGTATCCAGTGCGCGTTCAGAATTACTGTTGAAGTGACCTGTCTAGAAGTAACTTAGTGACCGACGTGTCAGTCTTTAGACCCTTCATCTGCTTCTTTCGCCCAAACGCTGGAAAAGATCTCCAAGAATCACCTCAGGTTGGCTTTGCTCCTTTTCCCCTTCTCTTCTTCTTTCAGCGACCTCAAAAACGAACTTTCTTTTGCGGCGAACTGGTCGTGGATTCTCGTCCGACATCTCAACAAACTTTGTGCGAAATGTGAGGAAGCGACAGTTTGAAAAAGCCTCTAAGAACCGCTGCATAAACCGCATAATCCCCGCGCGCCGACGAGTCAGTTACACTAGAAACGTAGGGAGATTGATTGACAACCTAACAGCCAATAGAAAAAGAGGTAGCCTCGTTTTCTATTGGCTGATGTTTATCTGGCCTCACTATGTCCACGGTTGATAGATTTTCATTCTTTTTTTTTTTTTTTTTTTTTTTTTGGTCATCATAATTACAAGGCTGCTGCATCTCTGTAATGGTATTTTAAACTTTCATTGACAATTTGAAACAAAAACAAAAAATCCTCCATACAACCTTTAATTCAATTGTTCATAGTTTTTGTGGAATAGAATAACGTAGATTTTGACAGATTTAAACTCAAATTAAAAAGATAAAAGCTCTAAAACTATCACTAATTCAAAAAGAAACAGTGTAATTCGCAGAGCTCCGTATTCTGGTTCCAAACATTCACATCTGGAAATCATTTGGCCTTGTGTATTATTATTTCTTTGGATCTGTTTGTTCGTCCAACCCTTCTTCAATTTCTGCTTTTTCTGCCAATAAAAACTTTCCCCAAATTCCCTTTAACCAAATCTCTGAACTACGAGAGAAGATTATTTAAAGGAACTTTTCAGAAATATTGAAAATCTTACACTAATCGGTACTAAAACTAAGATTGAAACTAAATATTCATTTGTAGAAGGTCTTGTTTTGTTGTTTTGTTTTATTGTTTTGTCTAGAATGTTCCACAGTATGGCTTTAAATGAATCTATTTCCACGGAGATGAGTTTGCAAACCCTCCAGACCAAGTTACAGGTCAGATCTGTTGCAAGGCGAGCTCAGTCACAGTGGGAATGTGTGTATTTTTCAGGTGTAATTGAATAAATGTAATGTACTGTCGATGAGTTTAAGGCTAAAGCTGTGAAACCCTCAAGGCAAAGTGATAATATCTCCATGGAAACAAGGTTGTGGTGGAAAGGTTACACAGTGAGCCTTTAAATAATTGCATTCTATTGTCTAAAGTGTGTGAGTCCCGGTCTCGGTCCCGGTCTGGTCCCGGTCTCAGTCCTGATGATCTCTGGACACTCCTGGTTTAGTCCTGGTTTAGCACTGAGGCCAGGACCAGGACCAGGACCAGCATCAGAACTGAGACCGTTACTGAGATCGGGACGAGACCAGGACTGAGACCGGGACCAGACCGGGACTGAGA